ATGTGATTATATACAGAGACTGATGTGGAGACCAGGAGGCCAGGTAGTAAGAGTGATGATCAATCGATGATAAGCAAAAGTCAAAAAATGGGAAAGATAGCTTGCAGCCTGTATGGTGAGAGATTGACAGCTTTAATATATATCAAATAAAGAAAATAATGTTATCAGATGAGAAAAATGGGAATGACTTCAGAATAGAAAAATGAAGAAAGGGAATGAAGAGGCAGTTCATAAAAAAGAAAACCAAACGACCAGATTAACAAGTGAAAAGAATAGTTGTTAGTTGCTGTTGTGTTGACCCCAACTCACACGACCGTGCGCGCCACAGAACGAAACCCTGTCGGTCACGCACCATCCTCACAACCCTTGCTGTAAGGGAGCCCATCGTTGTGGCCACCAGTGTGTCTTCCATCTCGTTGAGGGTCTTTCCCTGTCTCGATGACCCTCCACGTTACCAAGCATGACATCCTTCCCTAGGGAATCGCCCAGTGGACCATAGATGTGTCCACAGGGATGTGGAGAGTCAAGAGCAGTTGCGCATTGTTCATGGGAGTGTCACTTGGAACACCCTCTCTGGGCTGTCAGGCAGACTAAATAGGTTAAATGCATAACTTTTGACCCCAGTTGTCCTTCTGGAAATCTATCTTCGGGAAGGAATTGGACAACAATGCCCAGGGACATGCTTGAAGCGCTTGCCACTTTTTGTGATTGTGCAAAAATTGAAAGCAACCTAAATCCTTCTAGTAGATATTTGACTAAATAACAGCCTTCTACATGGAATGCCATGTAACCATTAGAAAGGGTAGTAATATACCCTGAGGTGGAGAGGTACCCACAGTGTATCGTTTAGTGAAAAAAAGGCAGGAAATAGACCAACCAGCAGACCGTGATTCCATCCTTTTTAATTTTATCTTTATTTTTGCCATGTTCCTTCCCTTCCCCTCCCACCCCTTAATCAACAAAAAAGTTTCCTTCTATTTATAAACCTTTCCTTGACTTTTTCCAATAATGAACTAATACTGTATTTGCCCTTCTGTGATTGACGTACTACATTCAGCATAATGTCCTCCAACTTCATCCACATTATGCGGTGTTTGGCAGATTCTACGTTATTCTTTAGAATTGCATAATATTCCATTGTGTGTATGTACCATAGTTTGGTCATCCATTCTCCTGCTGACAGGTTGTTTCCATCTTTTTGCTGTTGTAAACAGGGCTATGATGAACAGGGGTGTGCATGTGTCTGTTCTTGGCCTGGCTCTCACTTCTTTAGGATATATACCTAGTAAGTGAATTGCTGGGTCGAATAGTATTTCTAATTCCAACGTTTTAAGGAATCGCCACACTGCTTTCCACAGTGATTGGATCCTTTTACAGTCGCACCAGCAGTGCATGAGAGTCCCAGTCTCTGCATCCTTACCAGCATTTGTTATCTTCTGTTTGGTTGAATTTGGCTGTTAGTGCTGGGGCCACTTGGTATCTCATTGTTTTGATTTGCATCTCTAGTGATCATGAACATTTCTTCATGTGTTTGTTGGCTGCCTGAATATCTTTGCTGGTGAAGTGTCTATTCATGTCTTCTGCCCAATTTTGAATTGGATCATTTGTCATTGTGTTGTGGAGGTGTTGGAGTCTTCTATAAATTTTAGAGATAAGTCCCTTGTCAGACATGTCATTGCTGAATATTTTTTTCCCAGTCTGCGGGTTCTCCTTTTGCTCTTTTGAAGCACGTAAAAATTTAATTTTTACAACATCCCATTCATCTAGCATGATTCCATCTTTAGAGAAACAAAAAGGTCCCAGGGAACCTGTTAACTGTCACCTCAGAGATGGCGGCTCGGGAGGTTTTCATATTCTACTTTGTCAGTTTGGCTTTTTTTAGACAAGAACAAAAACATTCTATTTGAGAGCTTGAGGGAAGAGAGACAAGAAAGCCGGTGGAGAAGACCAACTTGTATCTGTAAAGAGCGTGATGCCAAGGGCTCACCTCAGGTGCTAGCACTGCCCTTGGGCTTGTTGTTGAGAGAGTGTGGTTGGAGATGCTCCCACCCACCTGCTGTGCACAGCTGTGCCCAGTGGCCTGTTGCCTAATTCCTTCCTCAGCCTTCCAAGGAGCCCTGGCCATGTGTCTCTTATCTCCTCTTTCTTCCTTCAAACCCCTGCTCCTCTCAGGTGCCCGCAGCCACTCTTTCAGACTTTTTTCTCTTCTCCTAGCGCGACATGTCCACGCTTAGTCTTAGCAAGTGAAACTGCCCGAGACTGACTAGGTCAACTGAAGCCATACAGCCTTGAGGCCCAGGAGATGTTTTGAATTTTCTTCAGATGACGGTGATTTAGAGAGTAGTTTTTCACAGTAGCTAGTGAAGAAGGATGATTGAGATCTATGTGTGTTAATTTGCTCCAGTCACCAAGATAACATTCTGTGGCTGCAGCCAAGTTGCAGAAGAGAATGTCCTCCACGCCCTTGTTTCTCCCTCTGTGCTTGAGAGGTGCTGAGGAGGAGGGAGGTCACAGGGCCACGGGAGAGCACTCAGGGCCACTGAGGCCCAGCAGGGGCGGAAGTGACTGGGGTCTCCTTTGCACAGCGATCCCTCTGTGAGAGCGAGCGGGCCCGAGTGCGGGCTGCCCGGAAGCACGCCCTGGTGTGGCCCTTGAGGCAGAGCCCCCCTGCAGACTGGCACCTCCCTCTGCCCCAGGACGAGAAGGACCAGTGAGAAGCGCCCTGCCTGGTGTCCCTGCAGCCGCCTCCAGCCTGTCTCAAGCAGGGCTGTCGTGCAAACCTAAGGACTGTGACTGGCCGTTTGTAGTGGGTCCCTGTGAGCGCCACCTGGCCTTGAACATGGAGCACGACGTCTTCAGCCCCACCTACTCTACACCTCGCCTGCTCTCAGGGTGACACTCTGAAAAACAGTTGCACCCATTCCAGAGCTTTGGGGAAGCCAAGCTTCCTTGGGGGTATCTGTGAGCAGCCAGGTCGGGCCAGCTCACGTTTCTCCCCTGGAGTGACAGCATGAGAGATGGTGGCCTGACATCTAGAATTCTCAGGTCAACTCGTGAGCCACAGCCCTGATCTGTGTGGACATGTGGGTGGATCAGAATAAGGCAGCTAAATTGAGCTTTATGTGCTTCTGTGAATGTGATGGGGCAAGGTGTGAGGGTCTTGTAGTGATGGTACCTTTATTCATCCTTGAGAAACAGGCTGCTGTGTCCTAGGCTTGGTGACTCAGGTAATGCCAGCCACCGGCCTGGGAAGCTAGGAGTGGAATCTACTCCATGGGGTTTTGGCTTGGGAAACACAAAACTCAGGCCACTCGTCTCATTCACAGCAGACACAGGTGGGCGTGGCCTGTGCCTAGGAAGAGGATGGGGCTCACCTGCACCTCTGGGCCAACTGAGCACCTCCTAAGCTGGGAGATTGGCCCCTTGGAGATGCTGTTTTTAAAGAAATGTACACAGCCTCGCATAAAAAGGGTTCATAGCTTCTTGGCTTAAAAACCCAAGCCTCAGACTCATGGAATTTAGGTTTCTTTCCCTCAAAATTTCCCTGGGTCATTTTTATTTATTTTAATATTTTCAAACATTTCTTTTTTTATTGGACATCTCAGCTACAACAGCCAATCTAGGAGGTTGAGAAAAGTATCTTAAATAAGAACCGTTTTTAGTTTAGATAAAGAAAGTAAGTATGTTGAGTTAGGCATACCCATGCACAGTAAAAATCCGAGGATGATTTAATGTAGTACAGCTATATTAGAATCCAGTGTTCAGGAGTGGGAAGACCTTTCCTGTAGTACTGGAGTGCGAAAGTATGGAAGCCAGAAGGCTTCACTATTGTCAACAGGACTAAAGGGCATGATAAAATTTTGCAACTCGGAACACAGACAAAACCAGTATTTCTTCAATTGTGAGAACATTCTTAAAAGAAAATATCCTGTATGCTGTATATATAAGATGGAAATAATCTGTTGTTAAAAAAAAAAAAAAATCTGCTAGCTACATCTCAACCAAATCCTCTACCTACTACCACCTCCCTGTATCGTCTCATCGGATGAGTGTGACAGCCCTCCTCACAGGTCTGCTTGCCACCCCTCCTACCCATTCGCCACAACCACAAGATTCGAAAAAACTAAATCTGATCCTGCCACATACTTTCCATCTAGCAACTAGTTCTTTAAAATTCTTCAAGGTCTTCCCATTGGTTTTAGGATACAAATATATATCCTCCAGGAGGCCTTCAGGCCCAGCAATTTCCAGTTTAGTAATATATCAGACTAGTAATAGATCAGACAGTGTTTCACTGCTATTCATAAGGTTTTCAGTGGCTAGTTCTTTGAGAAGCGGATGGCTTGCTCCTTCTTCCGAGTGTGTCTTAGTCTGGAAGCTCCGCTGAAGCCTGTCACCATGGGTGACCCTGCTGGGATTTGAAATACCGGTGGCATAGCCTCCAGCCCCACAGCAACACACAAGCCACCACAGTGTGATAAACTGAAAGATGAGTGGTGACCTGTAGGCCTTCGAAGAGCCTCAAAGCCCCACAGGGCCTTTGCACCTGCTGTTCCCTGTGTTACCTTATTAACACCTACTCATCTTTCAAACCACTTTTCACTTCCTCAGAGAGGCTTTCCCTGAGCCCCACACCAGGTCAGTTACCTATTATATGTGCTTATAGCTCTTTGGCTCTCTTCTTTAAGACCCTAATTACAGCCATAACTTACATATCTTTAAGTGGTTCTCTGAATGTCTGTCTCTACCTAGATCAAAGCTCTGAAGATGGAAGGTGACTGTTCTGCTAACCTTTTATCCCTGGTCCCTAGTGCAATGCTCTGTAAATATTTATTAAATGAATAATTGGATAGCTCCCCAATCAAAATGCTACATAAAGCAAAATATGGGAAACTGGCATGGCAGTGAATGTTAATATTTTATCCTTTCTTTCATTACTACAAATTACCCATTACATTCAGTTATTTACTACTAAAAAGAGAAATTATTTATTACCAGGTCAAGTTATTGAATATTACCTATAGAAGATATATATATATATATACCTGTATTTTTGTTTTAAAAAATGGTTTGTCCATATTCATAAAACAGTTGCTCTATGTAAGAAAAATATGAGTTACCATTAAATCTAATTCTCTTTTCAGAACAACCATGCATCTTTAGATCAGAGCACACATGGAACATTGTCTTCTGGTCCCTAAATTTAGAGTAGAAAGTGTTTTTAGAAATAAATACTGTGAAATCGATAAGAAGCTAAAATCAGTTAAGGCAAATAGCTATGAAACCTCAACAGAACTCTTTAATTTCTCAACGTCTATAAACAGCTTCACACAAATCACTTGGAAAATCAGCCTACAGGAGAACCAAACCCCGTACTCCCCAGGCCCGCTCTTGAAGTCAGCGGCTCTAAGAACTGATCTGTTGTAGCACCTGTTGTAGCAGATGACACTAAAGGCTGCAGGCGGTCCTCAGGCCTGGGTTCTGGATCAGTTTTCTGGCTTGGATCAGTTAGGAATCACTTCCTGAGAATCTTCACTGTGAACTGAAGTAGGTGTTAGCATTGCCTTTTCCTTCAGCTCGGCAGTCTTTTCTGATAGGGGTACGTTGTCCATGTCCATCTCAGATGCCTTTACTATGCCTTTGATTTTTAAGAGATAGCATAGCGTTTTGTCACTGGAAAGGCAAAAGTGATCTCTCAAGGTAGCCAAGGTGCATGGGTAGAATTCAGATGGAAACCAGTGAGAATCCCACAGGAACTACAAATAAAAGGTGGTAAATACTGCCTTCGGGTGGACCTTCACTGCCAGCCAACAAGGGCACTTCCAGATCGACCTTATTTGTGACTCTGAAGAAGACCACAGCCCCAGGAGACCGTGGCAGACCCCAAGGATGTGCACCGAGTCAGTGACCACGGGGCACTTCTCAGGCTACAGCCCTGTTGGCAGCTGCAATCCGGTGCCGCTGCCCAGAGCCGGGGGGCTGAGCGGCGAGGACCCCGTTAGCACTTGCGTTTCCCAACCTACGGAAGCCGGGCAAGACTGCTCGTTGGTAGATTTCTTAGCACCACCATCACAAAAGTCACCCTGCGGCAACTTGTATAAACTGACCAATTCCACCGGCGCTGTGCTGCCATTTTTCCTTTGGTCATTTTTAGAAAATGTGAAATGTATTTATTTGTTAACTTTTTAAATTTATTCCTATTATTTTAAATTGTGCTTTAGGTGCAAGTTTACAGAGCAGTTTGTTTAACATTCAACATTTCACGTACATTTGGTTTCACTCCCCAATTACCATCCCTGAGTCTAATCCACTCTCGTCCCCTCTCTTCCCAGTGAACTTGCCCCCTCCTTGTGCCCCTCCCAGTTACGCACTCCATGTGTCCTGCATTTCCTCCAAGCAAAGGTTGCCCCTCTGGTGTCCCGTGGTCGATTGCTCCAAGGGATGAATTTGCATAGCATATGTGGGTGCGTCACCCTGCGTTGAGTGGTCTGCGTGTACCTCTTATTTACTATTGGGCTGAGAGGCAGCCCCTGGGAGTGAGTTTTACTCCAGGCCCGAAGTGTATCCCGGGGCCATAGTTTTGGGGGTCCCACCAGACTCATCCGAGCAGTAATTCTGGTCGTCATTGTGTTTTGGGTTTTGTGCCACACTTTTCCTGCACTCTATCCAGAATCTCCAGTTTTGATCCTTTCCCGAGTGCTTGCCATTGCTAGTTGAGCACCATCTAGTTCTTCGGGTCTCAACGTCCATCGTGTCTTAGGGCTGATTGCTTCCAAATGCCCTTGGTTTTTTGCGCTCTTCTTTGCTTCCAATGATAGGAGACCATTAGCTGCATCTTAGATGGCCACTTGAAAGCTTTTAAGACCCCAGCTGCTACTCAGCAACATGGGTCGTGGAACAAGATTTTTATGCGTTTTGTTGTGCTGATTGAGTCTGGTGTCCCCCAGTGCTATGGTCTCAGTGGGTAGAGCCATTGGCCCTCTCTCCCAGTGTCTGGTTGTCTGTGGGGACTGCTCCATGTCTGCCTTCTGTTGTTTTTATAAGGACTGTGGGTATTTGTATCAGAAAATGTGGAATGTATTAAGAGCTATTTCACATGCTCGATTCCAAATATAGGCTGGAAATTCAAGCCACATTTGTTAGATTTCACACCTAACATTGTTGTGCTTGTATTAAAATTTTGAATGCCTATAGATGTTTATAAAATATGTATATGAACAACAGAATAAAATTTGAAGGAAAACAAACATGCAGTGCCAGGAATAAATGAAACAAACATATGTAAGATTTCTATAAAGAAAAGAAAAAAATTTGTTAAAGGCAACAAATAAATGGGAAGATGTAAAATAATAATACATATAGGAACCAAGAAGACTAGTTCTTGAAGAGGTCTCTTTTACTGCTAATGAAGCGATTTGGCGGCGTGCGACCCACAGCAGACCCGCCGTGAGTGCGGTAGGGTGGGGGTGAGGTGGCTGTGCACCCAGCCGCTGTCCCTACTCCCTTGCTTGCCAGCAGCACCCCCTGTTGCTTCTTGCCTCCCTCATGGCCAGGCTGCATCCTGGCCTCCAGCAGTGGGCCAAACACTGATTCATTCTCTGGGACAAAATAACCCATCTTTTCAAAATGTTCTATATAAATCAAAGAATAAAATTTCTCCTCATCACTTGTGTTTTCTGCTGTACGTCTCAAGAATTCTCCCTGTATTTGTGTGTATACCTGTGGGGGCAGGGGAGCACGTGTGCATATGATGTCAAGAGCAGAGGTGACTCTAAAGAGCCACACTCATCTGCCCCCATCACGGGAGGAGGGAGGACCTTGATTGGTCTAAGCCAACCTTAGGATCTCCCTCCGCCCCATGACTGTGGCTAGTTTCAAAAGGAGCTTTTCTGGCCAGTGAGGAGAGAGAAGGCTGCTAGAGGTTTCCAAGAGTTGTTTTCTTTAAGTGAAACACGAGGACGGGACATCCAGCTCTCCTGGGCTTCCTGGACTTAGCTGGGGGTGTGGGTGAAGCTGGAGGGCCAGCCAGCACACAGGGAAACTGCAGGCCTCGTGAGCTCCCCCGAGCCGGAGCCTCCCACCCTCAGGTTTGCTGTTGGGGCTCTTGCATTGGGCCGAGTGCTGCCTGCGGCTGAATGTCCTTCTTGCTTTATATCCTCTGGACGTTTACGTTCTGCTGCCCGGCCGCTCTCGCATTTTGCCTGCCTGCCTTCGTCACAGGTTCCACATCAGCACGTAGTGGGCCACCTCTCTGCACAGGATGGTGCCTCCATGCCCTCATGCATTCATCCTTCATCTCGGTGCCTCCTGTGTGCTGGGTGAGGTTTCGGACTCAGGGGTCATGGTGTCCAAACAGGTAAGTTGCTCAGAAAGAGTTTCT